TCTTCAGTAAGCACATCCAGGTCTTATGGATTCTATTTGGAGCTGAAAGTGGTAATTACGATCAAATTAAGAGGCACGCTGAAAAATGTCACTTTTACTAACCGTCGTTAAGGCCTGCTGTAGGAGATAAACTGTCGTGTTCTGCAAAGTACAATGCAAAAGAACTAGCATCACCAATAGTGGAGAAAGAGAATTAGCGTAGGTACGTGCTCTGTTTTCACGTAATTAGAAACTTTAATTAAGAAACTGGTTACATAACCTGTCTGTTTTCTTTTATTAACATTGAAGACTATAATCATAAATCAAAAATCTGACTTTTTCAATTGAAAAATAACTCTAACTTTGGAGAACAGTAAGCGTTTATGATATTGTTTCAGTGTGCGGATGAATTAGCCAAGCAAGTTGAGTCACAACATTTTTGGGAAAAAGGATTTTTTAATTATTTACTCGTAGAGAGACCACCAGTTATGCAGTAGAAAACATAACATATCATCGATTGATTTTTACTCGGGTAGAAAAAGGCTAAGAATAATAGGGAAGACGAGCCAGTCGCCAATAAAAGAGAAACATTAAGAAAAGGTAGAACCTAGGATGACTGAATTGCAGGAAAGTTTTTTTTTAATCTAACGTGACTATAATTTTTTCTTGTGAACCTCACCTCTAGCCCTTACAAGGAGACCAAATGTTAGAAGAAAAATTCCTAAGAGTCCCCTCATATCAGTGCACTAGGTTTTCCAAACCTGTATGGGTATAAGCAAAAGTGATCATCTGTATCATTGCTTTGATATGCTACTGTATCTTGTGGGGTGGACTTTTAAAAGTTTTACCATATGTGTTATACAGTTCAAGATTTAAATACATTTTAAAATCTTGTCAAGTTAGCCACTGTTTGACAATCAGATCTACGAATATATGAAAATGGATCAGGTTTAGGTCTAAGATGTTGTCTGTCTGGGCAAGGGTGGATTCGCCATCGGACAAGTTGTGTTTCTCTCTAATGGTGAGGGTAAGCACAGCTAATAAATCATCACTCACAGAGAATAATTAAGTTAGGAGCCAAAACTATAGATGTCTTCCTGCTATGTGTTAGATGATTTGCCGTAAGTAGAACTTTATGACAAATAATCTTCACACGCGAAATCCCTCATCCGTACTGCTTACATTGACTTAGACGACCCAATAGGCCTATGACTCACATGCAATTAAATATATGCTCTTAAAAGGTTTGAAATGTAAATTCAAGGCGAAGAAGAAACCAAATGAAATTGAAACGGGTCATAAATTACGTCTCACCTCAATCTTAAGTGTTTCTTGCTAATCAAAGTACGCTGTCCCTGAGATAAAAATGACAGGTCACTTGGTATTACATATTGCACGGATCATTTAAGTGATTAATGCAGGATTTATAAACACGGCAGGTGGGTATAGCATGAGGTATTTTCTTTAACAACTTTGTAAAATATCAAATCCCTGCAGTGTTTCTGAGGAAACTAATGCGTAAGACAGAAAGCGCTGTTGCAATTTGCAGAAAAATTAAAAAGGAGACTAGTTGCCATTTAAGAATTGACAAGAACTGCATTAACTAAGGGTAACACTTTGAACATGAAGATATATTATCTCATGCTGGTAAATTACCATATCACGACGGAATGCTAAATTCATAACAATATTGACCGACATGCTATACTGCTTCGAAGACAAAAATTGAACAAGGAATCACTTATAACTGGCATTGGGGCTCAGCTAGAGAGATAAAGATTTACTTTACTGTCTTATCTAAAATGAAATTTCCTCTCGGAAGGGTTTATGTTGAAGTTTTGTTTGTTTATAAGTTTGTGAAAGTATGTGGTCTTGCATTTAGAAGAAACATCCAATGGACAATAATTCCTGTGATGACAGGCAACTGGTTAAGTGCATTTGCTGTGGCTCCCAACTTTGCTACTCCATTGCTCATGAGTAACCACGAAAAGATAAACATGTAGCTCGCTGACGGAGAAAATTTGGTTTAATCGCTAAAAGGTTGCCAATTTTCGTTATTTATAGGAATTTGTGTTTTATTAATGATGGCACGAAGACTTGGGATATGATTATATAAAATTTTATGGGAAAAGGAGAGACGACAAAATTGACATGAATCTAACAATAAATAGCTATGTTGTGAAATTTCCAACAATGCAAGCGAACAGGGCTCGGAAATTCAGAGAGTAATGTATGAGTAAATGGTCTCACCTAGACAGTGTGTTATTTTACGACTTTTCTGATTATGTCGCGAGGATTCTCCAAATATGATACAACTTTTGTGATGATGCTCTGACAAACCTAATTTGTGGTACAAAAACCATAGGTGTGTCTAGCTAAAATACAAATGTGCATTCTCGCTATTATTATCGTAAGGCGATTTAAATTGCCTACCTGTGTGTCAGATATAAAGTAGTTTCTGGAGCCAAATAACAGAAGTCCTTTGGTCTTAGCTAGAACCCTCCAGACATGGCTCACTTACAACTACTTCCGATGTCTAATGACGGTGACTCAATCCCCGAACTTTTGAATATTTTCTATCATAAGTAATATTTTGTTTTGAATTGGTTGACCAACAGAACTGCAAGATTTCGATTGTTTTCAAGTCATTTTATTAAAACACTGCACTTATGGAGCAGGTTACGCTGAAAAAAAGAGATCGGATGCGACACAGCAAAAGTAGTTGATAGCAGTTTAGAGTATTAACAGGATAGAGTTTAATGGAAATGGAAATACGGACTTAAACCGTCTCAGCTGTAATCTATTTCTCTTTAAAGAACTGTATGAAATTGGTGCAAAAATTGCAAAGGGAATTAAGAAAATATATGTTTACTGTTAAATATCACAGCAGTCACGTCACAAGTTTATTTACATCCACAGAGGTACTGGGCGGAAATCAGAGCAAACTTTCTTTTTCCATGTCATTAAAATTGATGTTTTCTTTTTCGGGAAAGATGCAACGTACAACGTAGAGAGACGTATTTCTTTAACCGACCTACAAGTTTCTAAAAAAAGCTGGTGATTGTTTTTATGTCAGAATCAAAAAGGCACGATTTCATGAGTTGGTTTGCTCAAGCTTAAAGTGAAAACTAGCTATTGTTTTTGTTATCTCAACATTGGATGAAAGAAATTTAACAGGTCGTTTGAATTTTATTCCATAACTATTAAACCCAGACACTAAAACTGCCTCAACTGATTTGAACGAGGTGGTTTGTAGATTTACTAGTAAGGACTCCCCAGATTTCCTGTTACTTTGAACTTGAAAACAAGGTTTGGTATTAGCGTTTCAAAATCTCCTTCAAAAAAAACCTACAGTGCTGAGTAAAAATTACGTTCACTGTATGAGGTCATTTGTATAAATTAACAATACAGACCAGTTGATTAGCCATCACTAAATTTTTATCTTCTACTGTCTGATCTCTGTTTCCATTTGTGATTTAATTTTCTAGCCTAACAGGCCTGTTCAAACAGAATTTGATGACCATACCAAGCAAACAATACATACAGATTCTCCGAATGCCTGTGCAGTACTATTTGGCTAAAATGACACTGAATCATGAGTTGACCTTACAGCCAACGAATCGAAGCAACAATTCCTTCAGTGTAATTTGGTTACATCAATTGGGTTGAAATTGTTGATTGGCCACTGTGAAGAGTTAAATAGCTGACGTTTCGAGCGTTAGCCCTTCGCTCTGACGAAGGGCTAACACTCGAAATGTCAGCTTTTTAACTCTTCACGGTGGCCAGTTTACAATTTCAACCTAGTTGATATAGCTAAATTACCCTGTTACCCCCCCCCCNGACGCAACACCACAGTTTCTTTAGAAACTTTCACCGTTTATTCATTTCCTTCAGTGCTTAGGTTATATCTGTTATATAACGCCCATTAAAAATGGCAACATTCTGGAGAGTTTTGCGTCATTTTGTGGGACAAGTGCACCTTTTTCAGATCCTACTGATAATGCTAGGTCAGGATCTTAAAGTAAAATTTAGTAGCAAGTTTCGCGCAGCAAAGTCCCGATCTGTCATTACAATAGTAGTATGAAATATGGTGACCAAGGACGCATCAGTTCCTTTCTTAGCATTATTTTAGATTTCGTTCGACTGAAGCCGGGATGAATTAAAAGTTAAAATAATATTAGTAATATATCTCTGGATTGCATGATTTTATTACAGTTACACCTTGACGATTCAAGCGCCTTGAAGCTTCAACTCTGCATTGCTTGCATATGATATCTCAGTAAACAACATAACTCTCTGTTAAAAAAAAAAAACGATAGATAAAAACATCCATAAAAGAAACAAAGAAATATATGAGTCGTTTTGTCACGACCTTTGGACAAAGAGGAATGTGTGTCCTCAAGCATTTGAACGGTTTTCCTCTTCGATGCTCTTACATCGAGGTACAGAAAACTCAGATGGTCAGTAACCCCATTTCTAGGCATGCAGACATGCGTCCTGTAAATTGCTACAAAGGACTCTTGAAAGGAATTTATCGTGATGAGCAGAGCGATGATGTGCAGATACTAACTAATTTATGTGCGAAATTAGAAAAAATGCAAGTAGTTCCTCTACAGAGATATGTTATGCCTTTCATGATCAATGATCAAAGTTATCAGAAATACTAGAAGCAATGAAGATTCAAGTAATTTTATAATTTCGGATAAACTCAAGCAATTTGATGTAATCAAGCACTTGTAAATTTTTCAAAGACTGCAAATTGCAATCGCCCTAAGGGCTCGTTGTTGTCCTTAAAAATTTACTCATGCTTAACACCACTTTCCACTCGAAATCATGATATTAACTACACAAATTGTACTATGATATACTATTTGAGGGTAAGGGGGGCGTGACCAGGCTGTCTTTTATTGGTTAAGGACTAAAATTATCAGAGAATTATGGTCGCTCAACGAATAGAAGAGTACAGTTGCTGAGTTGCCGAAAAGTGAACAAAAGTATTTAAAATAACGTTGCTAACAATTATATATGTAGTTTAGACCTATCCCTTCTTAGCCTTTTTCACTTTCAAAATTTTCTTTTTCTCTTTGCTTTTTGTTTTGGCCTCTTTTTGCTTCTTGCTTTTCACAGGTTTCTTGTTATTTTTCTTTTTCGAGGAACTCTTTTGCTTCTTACCTCTGTTTTTACAGCAATAATTCGCGCAATATGGAGGACAAAATACGCCTGGATAGTGAGTACAGGATATCGGACAACTACTTGGAAAGACTGGTGAAGGTAGTGCAGGTGGAACGATAGGCTTTGGAAGTAATGATGCTGGAGCAGACTGAAGAGAAATGTCCGGAAGCTGAACAATTATTGAATGGGGAGGCGCAGCCATCTGAGGTCCAATTGGTAGTTTTGGAGAAACGAGCCTCGAGAAAGGATTCATAACACTGGACGTATAACTCGGCGGTGGAGGGAATGGACGTGGTGGAGGTGGTTTGAGATAAATACTTCCTTGAACCTGCAGAGGCCGTGTTAAGAGTATAGGCCTGGATTGTCTTTCGTACGAATTCGTAGGTGGCATTGTGGGTACATTTCCTGTATATGGATTACAGGGATTCGCTAGAGAAGGGATGCAGGGGTTGATCATTGAGAAAGGGCCTTGTCCTGGGGGATACGGAGGGAAAGGAAAAGGAGGAGCCATTGGTCCTGACTTAGGATAAAGAGTTAATGAACCTTGTAACGAGACTGGTCCTTTGACTGGAATAGGTTTAGGCGATGGAGGAGGCTGAGGGGGCTTTGGAGGCTGAGGCAAAGCCTTCTTTGGTTGGTGACTAAGGGAGGTTTTCGTGACCTGGCCGTAAGAGGAGCCCCAAGGAAGCAACCCAAAGGGCTGTATTGGGGCCACCTGAGGCCAGACAGAAGAGCGATACAACTGAAATGGTGGTTTCTGGCCATAATTCTGGGTTTGATAGGTTGGTAATCGCCGTATTGGTGATGGCAGTGAGACAAATGGAGTGTAGGAAGTAACTTGAGATTGCCAGTATGGTGACTTGCCGTACGGGACCAAATAGGAACTAGCAACGGGTTTAGGCATGAAAGCTCGAGACTTGCCCTTCTTGTGTGACGGCTTCGAAAGCTTTCTCGGCGGACAAGGGTAGTTAGGAAGAGGAATGCAAAGCACAGGCCAAAATAATGGTCGAGGAAAGGGACTTGGTGAGGGTGGTGGAGGTGGTGGTGCGGAAGGTAAGTGTATTATATGTTGTGGTGGATCTACCACTTTTATCTTGGAAGGTAGAATATTTGTCTGAGGTGGACAAGGGTTGTATAATGATGGAGTGCAAGGAGGTTGCATCTGTGGTTGTACCAGACGCATAACTTGTTGTGATGGGTATTGGGCCGCTGCAGGCTTGACTAGGGGCGCAATTGGTAACGGGCATGGCTGGTACGCACTAGGAATACAAGGAGGTTGCATCTGTGGTGGTACCAGACGAATCACTTGTCGTGGGGGGTACTGTGCCAGTGCAGGATTCACAGGAGGCATAATTGGTTGGGGACATGGGTTGTTAGCACTAGGAATACATGGAGGCTGCATCTGTGGTGGAGGCAAATGTATCACGTGCTGTGGGGGATCGGTTACTTTCATAGGTCTCAAGGGAGGGCTCATTTGGGGTGGACAAGGATTGAATGCACTCGGAATACAGGGTGCTTGTAATTGTGGCGAAGGAAGATGTATTATGTGCTGTGGGGGGTCTGTTACTTTTAAAGGACTTAAAGGAAGACGTGCTTGTGATGGACAAGGATTGAACGCGCTAGGAGTGCACGGAGGCTGCATCTGTGGCGGTGGAAGATGTATTATGTGCTGTGGAGGATCTGTCACTTTCAAAGGCTTCGCAGGGGGACGTATCAATGGTGGACATAGGTTATTAGGACTTGGTATACAAGGCATCTGCACTGGATTAGCGACCCTAGGGAGAAAAGCCTGCTGATTGGTCGAATAAGGAAGCCTTGGTAATGTCAAGCGTGGGATCGACATGAGGGGACGTCGCTGAGGGCTTAAGATTCCTTCAATAGTTCGAGGTTGGGGCATTTTATAAGAACCCTGTACAGTTTGTGAAACTTGAGTGCCTGGTGGGCAAGGCCTCAGAACTGTTGGAACACATCTTATTGCCAAGGTCACTGGAACTCTCATCGCTCGGGCCTGCGATGCCATGGCCTGGAGAGGAACCACTGGATACCTCGAAAAGCCAGGCATGATAAATCGCCTGCGATTTGCTTGGGCTATTACACCATGTCGCATGGCAGAATACTGCATATTGCTTCCAGCTGCCGCCTTGGAATTGCAACAAAATGGATTACAAGAGACGAGGCAAGTGGTAAAGCAACTGGGGGTACAAGTTCCCAACACAGCGGGTGGAACTCCTGAAATAAATGAAAAACAAAACAATAATTGTCAAGCGAATCACGCTCCAACGTTTTATATTCTATCGTAATTCAAGAATACAAGTATCAATTTTTCGCACATAATCGTAGACAGCAGCAAGACTCGGAGGGGACGATTTCATAGAGTGTTAGATCGCAAAGACACCTTGTAATTGTTGTTATTTTCAGTGCTATTTTCGTTTTCCATCTCCTTCTGTTCGGTCATTATGTTTATTTAATATTCGATTTCTTCATTTTAGTTTTCCTTCCACATGCGATGTGACAAAGTGTGATTGCGATAAATCAGAAGTAGATGTATTAGTGGGTCATTTCGACTGAAACGGCGTTCCCTCGATTGTCCTCCACCAAGAAAAAGGTGAAAATGGGTCCTAGGTCCTCGGTCGTAGAAGTCCACTAGCTATCTTCGTCAGAAACAGGAACGCTTTATCGTTTACAATCTTATCCGCAGCGAGCCAGGAATTATTATGGGAAGTATATCAACCAAAGTATTGAGCATATCACCTTGGAAGCATATCTATGCCCATTCCTTTCTAAAAGCTTAGCTGCATTTTTTTATGCCACAATTTCATCCCGTCCAACAATTTACTTTCAAATATTAATGTTAAAACTCACCTGGATGAACTATTCTGACGGACTGAATAAGAGTTTTCTGATTAACTGGACCAGGAAGTCTTCCAAGGTTCTTCCTCAAATGTTTTTGAAATGGCTTTGTAGGATCAGGCTTTACTCCAGGTCCAAACTTTAAAATAATTGAAGTTGTCACTGATGACTTCTCACTAGCAAATAGAAAAAAGAAGTTTCTCTCGATTTTTTTCCGAGAAATGAAAGAGAACAAAAAATTTTTCATAAATTTCTGGTCACAAGACGGCCGGCCTTACTTGGAAGTTGCTCCACTTGAAGTAGGCTTTGACGCTGGAGTGGCCTGTGTGGTTCCTGGGGTAACCAGTGTTGGCTTGGTTGCACCAGAAATTGGAGATGTCCCTGATGACTTGGCAGGTGTCGCAATACCAGGCTTTGTTGGTTTACCAGTGGGAGAAGTTGGCTTCGGGGTTTTACTTTTGGAGAAATTTCATGATCAGATGAAAGAAGGAACGAACATTTAAATCATCAAAAAGGAAATTTACTTACCACTGGTTAAAGTTTTCTTAGCCAAGAATAAATGTATTTACCTGAAATCTTCGACATATCCTGATACGAAAGTCGAATCGATCTTAAAGATTTCCAGCAGCTAAAATTAAGGAAGGAAATCAATTATAACATAAAAGCATTAACAGGGTCATTATCAATCGATGAAGTCGCTTTCAGATTATTGCCATGTATAATCGACCATTTTGACTTTTAGAGTAGTTTATTGATTATAGAGGCTACATGCGAAAACTCTTTTACATCACAGTTATTTTTTGGATAAGTATACATCGAAAGAGCCTACCCTTGTTTATGCTAAAATCACACTGTGGGATGTGAAGTTCATTTATTTGTTTAAGCAGGTTGATTTAAGCAGGTTGATTAATTGGCAGCTGTAATAGCTGATGTGGACCTGCTGTCCTAACCCACCCATCCCACCCCAGGGGAGGACATCCATCACACAGTAATCTCGTGTGTGGGAAATTAACGTCTCCTGCCCCAACCCTGCAGGAGACGGGACCTCCATTTATTCGTCCCTATCCGAGAAGACTAGAATATCTAACCATTTCTTGATGTTATAGAAAGGTAGCAAATTCTTCTCAATTATTTTAAGACCTTGAGTGTTGGTCCGGCCGGGGCTCGAACCCTCGACCTCCCGCAC